TGGCCAAGGTGCCAGTGAAACAGGTGTGTTTTCATTATACTGTATGCCAAAGGATATTTTTTTCTGCAGACGCGAACATGCTGGCTAACAGCCTTGCATTGGCGCTTCTCTACTTTGTTTTACGTTGGAAATGCGAAAGGAAAAATAGCTTTTTTTCTTATCTGCTTCGTGCTGTAAAGTCGATTTTCCATTGGACATGAAAGGGCAGTGTTGGGAAAATAGTGAATGTCCTCTTCCAACATCAGAGTAGCATGCTAACTAAGGTATCCTAACTCTAGCTGTGAACATGACAGGATGTATGATTACCTAGAAGAGCATCAGGACTGTTTGAGGCATATGATAGCTATGTGATTAACATGATGATTCAGCCTCTATGGAGAGAGACATATGACAAGCCTGCTCATTTCTGACGTGGAGCTAATCTGAAGTAAACATTGAATACTGCTTTCTATTCCTCCATCTTGTGACTGTGTAACTCCCTCTCTTGGATATCAGCATGTGAAGGACACTGTTCAGGAACTAGTTGATGCTCTGTATGTGATGACTACTTCCATTCTGGAGAGGATCAGAGATACATGGATCCTGAGATTGAAGATCAAGCCGGTGAAGAGTGACATTTCTTTAATAGGCGGTGTGTGTCCCAGCAGGATGTGGGGGGGGGGGGTCAGTGATGGGGGGGTGGTCAGTGATGGGGGGGTTGTCAGTGACAGCTTTAACCTTTAACGTGTCCTCTTGGACGGCAGGAACTCAGAAGCTGCCAGGCCGGGGATTTACTGAGACCCCGAGACCTCCTGGAGACCTCCATCTGCCGAGCGGAGAGAGATCAGAGATCATATATTGACTGAGAGGGATTTAAAATGGAGTCAAAGTATAGTGTGTGTAAGAAAGAAAGAAAGAAATGCAAACCAAACACAGCAACAGTATGGGGTCAAAGTGGTTTGAATTAAATGTATGTAAGGGTTAAACTTTGTTTACAAAAATTGATTACAATTAAAATGTGTTTCTTTAAATATAAAACAATCTGAAGTATTATCGTGGAAACGTTTTAGAATACATTTATTTCAAATGGCATGAACGCCTGAAACATCTCCATTGGACTTCCTGAACATAATGACATCACTATGTAACACTCCGCTCCTATTGGCTAGCGCTCCGACACATTGTAAACATTGACACATCTACATACTGATATACACCTGAACATGAGGAGAATAGGGTCCTTTAACCTGTCAAGCCCCAAATCCCACAAAAAGTTTTTTTTATTTAATTTTTTTTAATTTGGATGGAATGAATACCTATGGTGATAATTCAATGTAATCATTTTTATAGTCTGGTACCTGAAAAAGGTCAAATGGCACTGATGGAACCAGATGTACCCAAATGTGCCGAAAGCTTATTCCGCCTGGAACCTTTTTTTGCTAAACCTCTCTAAAAAGGTCAAATTTAACTTGTTTCGCCTCAATCTTGATACAGGGTACTTATTATATGTTATAGTTTGGATTCCTAAAGCTTTTAGTCTACCTTCCCATCATTCAAGGGTGGTTTTCACTATAAGTAATGTGTTTTCTTTAGGCGGAGGTAAGAATTTACCTTTTTTTACTATGTTCCATCTGAATTTACTCTGACTGAGAAAAATCTATATTGATTCTGACACTTCTACATCCAACTCACAGATGTAACCTTGCTTTGATAAAATAAATTATTCATATAACCCTTTTAGAAGTGAAGTTGTAGTCATTTGTTTTGGGCATGTCATTTTCGAGCCTGAAACCTGAAAAACAGGCTCGGGGCTTAACAGGTTAAGTATGGCTTATCGTCATGGAAACTCTCATTAGTGCAGATTTCATCACATCAAAAATCTCTGCTTTACCTTTGTGTAATTCTTAAGAAATAAAAGGAACTAGCAGAGAAAGATATGTTGAAGTTGAACCCTCACAATGAAACAGAAAGAGAAAAATAATCACAGGAGAGAGAGACTGTAATTCAGACATGCCAAAGAAAATATAAGTAGAGACAGTTGGTGCAGAGCCGAGAGGAGAAGCAATTCAGAGGATTTAAATTACACCGTGAGGACAGAAAGCACTGCAGGTGTCGAGAGCAAAGGCATGGAGAGGAGGAGTGATGAAGGAGGAGGAATACTGCAGAGAGGAGGAAGGGTAGACGGGGAAAAGAGAGCAGAGTAGTGGCGTCTCAGCGTGGGCGTGACAGATGAGGAGAGAGAAACAATCTAAAGAAAAGTCTCCCGGGAATTTAGCTCGTCTTAAAGCGCTTTTTTTCTGCCTCTCGACTCGACAGACACAAATTTGATCATCGATTAATAACGTTGTATAAACACGTCTTCAGTGCTGAGCGATCCATCATGAGTTTTGTTGAGGGATTGGAGAGTCGGTGGTTAATGAAGGCAACTGCTGAACACGGTGAAAAAAACCAGGGGGAAAAAGTGCAGCTGGTGTGAATATGTTGCACTCTCAGGAGAAGTAAATGGACCTGAAACGGATGCACTGAGATCTCACTGTTTAAAGGTTTGAAAACAGGGCGAGAGATATTAAAGAATAACCCAAAGGAAACATTTAAAACACAGACATGGAAGTGGTTGAATTTAAATATGATATTGCTGTTCAGCAGAGACAGACTACCTTGCATCAAGTTAGCCAAGAGTATACGACAAACCGTTCTTTCTGTTGCCGTCTGGCAGACGTTACCGCAGCATCCTGGCAAGGACAAGAAGATTCGGACACAGTTTCTTCCCGCGGGCAGTGAGACTGTTAAAAAATTGAACTGTTGAAACATCTTCAAAACATTCTTCTGCTACTCAGTATTATGTATCTAATACCTAATATATATATATCATTCCAATAACTTGTATATAGACTCGTACTGCACTATTCCACATCATCACTTTATTTTGTAACTATTATTCTTTTTGTATTGCTCTTGCTCTTATTGTTATTATGTTGCATTGTTGGAGAAGCCTGTGACATAAGATTTTCAACTACATAATTACTCTGTAGCTATGTCAGATTGACAATAAAGAACCTTGAACCTTGAACCTTGAACGTCCAAAGATGAAGAGAAGCCTTTCTGACCTGAGTTAACCTTACGTCACAGACCAGCAATTCATGTTCACATTTTTATGATTCATCCGTGTTTTTATTGCCTAGCACCAACCATACCTTTTTTAAATAGTAATCCATTGATGTAGCATTGCACTGCTATAACCTCGTGTGAACAGAGATCGCGCTAACCGAATATTTTCCATCTATGACGGATTTTTTTAACAATGACGGAAACATCTGAAAGCAGTCCGTCATTTTGACAGACTAGAACAAACTTGGAACAGCGCCAAAGCTCCCCCGCAGCGAGGCTCCGGTGTTATGCCGTGTTATGCATGCCCGCCAAAAAGGAAATGATATTGTTTCTAAACCTAACTTTGTCGTACAAATCATAAATGGCCATGACATGCTTTACGTTGTGCGCTCCCGCGAGGTGCAGTGGGCATGCATAACACGGCGCTAACACCGGCGCTAACAGTTCACGAGTGTGCGTCTCCCCCCCTTTCCTTTCCTTTACTTATGGACAGTTTAGCCATCATGAATCCAACGTTTACTGCTCTTGACAAATAGGAAATAAATGAATATAAGATAAGATAAGAGGTACTTTATTGATCCCAAAGTGGGCATTTTTTGCATTGCACTAGCATAAAAAACAACAAAACAAAACAAGGCAATACACAATGGTAGAAATTATAGAAAATACTAGAATTTACACATCTCAAAATATAATTAAAACAGCATTAAAAAGTTGAAAATATACAATAGACCGTGAGGATAAAAAATCGCCAAACTCTGACAATAGAACACTATTAAGGGATTTCCAAATTGACCGATCAGAATTGTAATAACTATTGTTAAGTCCTCCTGATGAAGTTAAGGTAATTAAGACTTCATGGTTAGCGTTGTTAATGGAGGAATAACACGTTTCTGTTAGGGTTAGGGTCAGCAAAGAGTTAACTGAGAATCTTTGTGACTCATAGTTTTAGCAGAGAACAAGAGATCAGCCTCGGTCACTGACTTCACAGCGATTGAGATCAGGGATTAGCAAGGTTAGAAGATGATTAGCTTTTTTACATCTGTAACAATGACACGGCGTCTAAGAGGATTGAGACACTTAATACTTAATCCTTATGGGAACCTTTGAAAGGTCAAACAAACCATTTACACCCATTTCAATCCATGAAATCTCATTGTTTTCAAGATGCAAGGGTTTTGTAGTTATGGCAATGAAAATCGTAGGCCCCGAGCTCCTCCAACAATGCAACACATTATATAAAGGACATTTATAAAAAATGTTTTGTAGATTAGTTAAAAGCTGTAATAAGCCATAGAACTTGATACACATGTGATTCCATTAATCCATTGGAAAACGGAGATAAAACAATCAATTCAAAGACGTTAATGTAAGATGAGCAACAATCCAATCATATTTCAATTGTATGGTTATATAAAAATATACATTTCAATTATTCTCTTGCTCCAGCTGTGTGTATCACAAATATCTTATGGTGAAAAAAATATACATGTTGTTTGTTTATCGGGGCTCGTTAGGCTCCAATTTTTCCTGTTACACACTTTTTAGTCCGGCCTCACCAGAAATGTAACATTCTGGTTTTGTTGGACTTATTTAAATGCATTTTAAAGAGCCTTTTCATTGTCAAACACTTCAGCTAGGTCATCTTGTGTTTTTACGAAGCACTATGACCATTGTCCACATAAACTGACGCTGGGAATTTTACGTCGGGCAGATCAAACTTCCCTTTGTGCTTCCCTGATGGCCGTTTTCAGGTTAAATTAAGTCTTTTGTGCGAGCCAGAGCATTTTCTCCAGGTTGCCTCAGCTCTTCAAACACTGGAACCTCACGCCCAGCAGCGAGGGAGCGTGCCTTCGCTTGAAAAGCATCCATTGTCCGCTCAGATGATTGTGAGTCATTGTACAAGCCGGGAAGTCAAATGATGGGACGTTAGCAGAGAGACCTCCATTGTGGCATCGTAGAAAGCTGGGAGAGGAGCGGCAGATACGGACCGGCGGAGGTTCAGGGGAGCTTTTTGCATGAATAGTGGAGTAATTCAGTCAGAGAGGTGATTAGCATTTTGAGTGGATTCACCGCCGGCTTTGTCCCATTCAGAGGGAGAATCTGTGAGTAGCCAGCTCTACCTTTCATTGGGAGGAAGGGGTCACACCTGCTTACAGACATGTCTTACAGGTTTAAAATGTACAGGTGGACAAATAGATGATTTGTTGGTACATAAAAAAGGAAGTATTTTGCGGCGTTGTAAGGTCAGTGCTTTTAAATCACCACTTGAAAATATGGCTTCTGTCTTGATGTTGGAAAGAAATCACTTACTCTTGTCAATTGCAAAAGTGATTTTAAATAGATTTGTTTAAATACCAAAGATAACTCATCATTTCATAATTGTTGCATAGTGATATACAGGCCTGATTTAACGGATTCATTTGTAATGCTCATACCTCAAAAACTCATTTACTGTAGAAAACACCAACATTTGGGACCAATGGACAACATTGAAAACTCCTCACAAAAACATTGACAGGTATTTTGAGGCCTTGTTAAGTCCATCAAAATGACCACCTTGGAAAATATAACTTTTATTTAACGTTGTTGTAGATGTTTGCATTAATACAAGCAATGCATACTAGAGAATGGGTTGTTTTTTTGCTTACCCTGAGACCTGAGAGCAGATGCAATCCAGTCCTTCTTTTGCTAATACTTTGAAAACTCATGCAATGTTGGGAAATGGAGGTGAACGTTTTTAATTAACTTTAAGTGTGGATGAACATAGTTAGATTTGGAAAGTGTGTATTGCCCATCAGAGGTTTTCGGGTTACATCTGAGCAAACACTAAGCGATTACATTTAAACTAAAGCTTATATCCAGCAATTTTCTAAAATTGAGGAAATTCTTTTTTTTCTCTACTGTTGCAGGAACAGAAGAGATTTAGCAGATTTATCCGAAGATCTTATGACTTTGATTACTGTTTGATCCAATAATGGATATCAACAATGTGCACTCTGAGTTCTTTCTGGTCATAAAACTAAGCTTTCTCGAGCTAGTAAATAAATAAAGTGGTTCCTTATCAACAAACTGTCAAGGTTAAGAAACGTATCTTTAGTTTTCAGGTCTTTTTTCTACAGTGAAGCACATTCAGGACTTTTTTGTGGCTTTTTCCCAACGAGCAGAAGAGACTGCCAAGTAGCTTTTGGCAGTTTTAAGCATGAACATAGAGACTTCATATTTTAAAGCAGCAGCATCCGATTGTTCCCTTCTTGAGTCCTTGCTCCTAATAAGCCTGATTTGTTGTGGTGTTGAAGTCCTCTCCCCCATCGAGCAGACAGATGGTGATATCCATGAACAAATGCTTCAACTGTAGTCATGAGCCAGGAATCTGCAGGTGTGTGTGTGTGTGTGTGTGTGTGTGTGTGTGTGTGTGTTTAGCCTGCCTGTACACAGTAATATCTACATGCTCAGAAATGCATACCTACAGCTCTTACGGTGCGTCCACACGGCAGCGTGCGTTGAAGCTTGCCGGTGGGCGTGTCTGGCGTGCGACCAACAACCAATCACATTAATCTCCCGCCCTGGACACACAAGCATTGGCTAGCGCTTGTACTGGCATATGATTTGATTGGCTGGCGCTTCCGTCAACGCTTGAAAAGTTGAACTTTTCTCAACTTTTGAAGCGAGCAACGGAGGCAAAGCGACGCGACGGAACCACAATGCAGTTCGGCAAAGCGTGACGTCTCCCCATTCAAAGTGAATGGGAAGCGTCTCCGTTGAAGCACACAACGCTGCCGCGTGGACGGGCCGTTAATCATATGAATTGTAGTCTCTTAACACAGAGGTCGACACATCCCGGTAGAAAAAAGACGATTCTTTGCAGACGACACCATGTTTTACGTGTGTCACACTTTATACAGAAGGCTGCTAGCTTTCTCACATTTTTGCTATATATTAGGTTGTGAATTCAGGCTGATAGCTATTCATGTTTAAACATGTGTTTCTATTGGTTTTTCTCCACTAAACAGGTACCATGTCAAAAGTATTGAGCGTATTATTTCTGTGTAAAGTGCAAATTCAATTAGCCAGTTGCAGTAGTCGTAGACAAAACACCATTTCATGGGAGTTTTGTCTCAGTAACAGTCATTTTCATTTGCTCTTGCTTGTGGAAAAACGTATTTGCATTTATAATTTAAAGTTGTTGATCGAACAAGAGATGCTCTATGATGATAGAAGATGAACATTATGGTTTCAAACGACTCGTACTGTTTTCAGTGAGAGGGAGACATCATGCCGGGAGGCTCTGTGAGCAGCATGTGCTTCAGATTGAGAGATTGCATCAATGATGCAATACGGGGGATGTTGTTGCATAAATGCATGGCTAGTGGCTGCATATCATTTATATGAGCGTTCGTACGAAACCTCATGCAGAGATGTCAGATTATTCACTTTCCATCTTGTAGAGGCTGCCGGTGCAATAAGTGTATTCCTTTATGCCACGAAGAGAGACTGCGCTTGATCAAAAATCATCTTCTGAAGAAGAACGTTGCTCAATGCATCGCTCACTCAGAGCTTCCAATGTGCTCAAGACTTGATTCATGGTTCCCTCTCTCATTCTGTCCATTGTTTGGTTGTGTTTGGAGAATGTTCTTGCATCTTACTGTTGTACTCTCTTGAGTGAATATCATACAGGACATTTGTAATTCAACATGTATATTTTCTACTTTCCTGTTTATTTCTAATCTTTTAATTTGTATTGTACAATGCCATGTCTTTGGCAAATTGGGAACAACAAAGTACTTCTTATCTTATCTTATACTAAAATCTATGTATTTTCATCTTCTGTTTCAGAGGCCAGACATCCAAAATGGGAGGCAAGCTCAGCAAAAAGAAGAAGGGATACAACGTAAACGATGACAAGGCCAAAGACAAGGACGCCCCGGCCGAGGGGGCGTCTGCAGAGGAGAGCGAGGCGCCGAAGGACATCAAAGACGAGGTGTCGGCCGCCAGCGACTCTAAGGAGGTAGCGAACGACACGGCGGCGGCCAAGGAGGAAGAGAAGAAGGAGGAGAAGAAAGAGGAGAAGAAAGAGGAGAAGAAGGAGGAGAAGAAGGAGGAGAAGAAAGAGGAGAAGAAAGAGGAGAAGAAAGAGGAGAAGAACGCCACCCCCGCTGTAAAGGAGCCAGAGAAACCTGCCGCCAACGCTGAGCCGAAAACAGAGGCGCCGAAAACAGAGGTGCCGAAAACAGAGGCGCCGAAAACAGAGGCGCCGAAAACAGAGGCGCCGAAGAGCGAAGAGCCCGCCAAGGCCGAGGAGAAACCCGCGGTCAAAGAGTCAGCGCCTGCCGCCGTGAAAGAGCCCGAAGTCAAGGCGGCGAAACCTGAGATTAAAGAAGAGGCCGACGCCAAAAAGACTGAGGCCCCGGCGGCTCCAGCAGCCAAAGCAGAGGCGGCCATCGCTGCCTCCCCCGAGCCGACAGAGGCCAACGCAGCGGGAAAAGAGCCCGCCGCCGCAGCACCTAGTTCAACACCAGCCGCCAGCGAGACCCCCGTCAAAGAGGCCAACGCCACAGAGGCACCAAGCAAGGATCAAACCGTAGCAGTTCAAGATTAATGGACAGCTTCTTTTCGGAAATAACATAAAAAGTACCTAACTCAACCATGAAGATAAAAAGAAAAAAAAAATGAAATGTACTAGCCCACCACCCATATTATGATATTAACAATAATAATAATAATAGTAGTTGTAATGGTAATGATTTGATGAACCTGAGCAGCTACCTGGAGAAGTCCCCCCCCCCCCCTCGCCCCCCGCTGCAGATTATAATTGCTATTATTATTGTTACGTTTTATTCTATTTTTTTCTGCTGTAGTATTTGAACTTTGATACGAGTTTGTGTCGGCCATTCGCCTAGCCATCCCACCTTCATCATCGTCTCCCTCCTGAAGGCAAGAGGCTTACCCCCCGCTCTGAGGACGTCAGAACGGCTACTTTTGAGGACATGGGACTGAGGGAAGGAGGGGGTTTGAGAAATGTCTTTACCAGCTGGACTTCCATTGAATCGGTCCACTTTTCTTCTTCCTCCTACCCTCCTCTTCTGAGTATCCTACTCTCCGTCTTGTCCTGGTACCTCCAGTCTTTCTTTGGAGTTGTAACCGTGTACTTTTTGGTATTCTTGGGTTGTGTTGGGTCTCTATACGGCAAAAACTGATGAGTTTAAATCTGTTGTGAGGACTGAGAAAGCTAAGCCTTCCTGAGACATTTTGGAGGTTGAAAAAAGTCCGGCTTTGCAGAGCCAAACACATTCTTAGACGTATAAAAAAAGTTTCAGATAAACTTCTACATTTTGTACTGAAACCCTTGGGTATATTGTAAGCAAACTAAGTGGTTTTTTAACATTTGTAATACACTTATAAATTCTGCAAAGCCTCCTTTTGAAAGATCTCCAGCGTGTTCTTAGAAAGTCCGATAGACTTCTCGGACTCTTTGTCCAAATCTGATGACGAATTTGATCAAGGTACTAGGCAAGACAGATATATTTTGGGACCTGGGAGACATTCACAATCTCGCCTAGCGTTAGTTTGATCGAGCTTAGGATAACAAGCTGGTGACGTTTATTGAAATATCAGGAGATGTCAGGAGTTAACCACTTTTTCTGGGATTGGCTTGAGTTTCTGGACCGTTAAGTACGTTTCAGAAAGTAGACATACTTACAAATGCTGTGAGTAAAAGTTCTACATTCTTCTTAACTCCAGCAAAATATACTTATTAGGAGTTAAAGTATATTGTGAAACCATATTAATACTGGGCAGAGATGGAAAGTGTTAACATGTACTTACCACATGTTGTTTTATCACAAACTAGAGGAAAGACCCCCAACAACAATCCCAATTTCTGGATTTTTTGGAATTACATTAGCTATTTATATGTGTTGATCGTCTTGATTAACCAATCTTCAATCAGTAAACCCATTCACGTAACTTTCTCATATAGCCTTTGAAACTTTCTTTAGATCACAGCAGGAACATCTGCGGTGCAAACCTCACCAGTTTGGTATCTAAGCGGCTGAAAACACCCCGGTCGAGATCACAGATTGTGTTGTTTGTCAGAGGTTGGTGTATCAGTGTAGCTCTGAAAACTCATGGAGGACCAGAGGGGGGGTTTCTGTGAATGATCAGAGTCATCATTAACCTACGTGATCTTCTTTGGTCCCGTGGAAAACGCCATGCTATCACAACGGGATGGAAAACTCTTGCACATGAAAAGGGAGCTTCTGATTTCTCATTTCTCATTCAATATATACGGCATATATGTACGTAAATGCAGCGGTGGAACAAAGGTATTTACCTATTTTACTCAAGTAGAAGCAATGTCACGGGGGTAAGAAACACTCCATGGCATACCTGCATTTTCTTATTTGCTACAGTTTCCAAGGGGAAAGTACTGAAAGTGGAGAAGAGAGTTGACCATCGTCGTGCTTTTGGATCGGCAGATAGGAAGGAAGCTTTTATATAAGCTGAAAGAAAGGAGGGCTGATTGAAAGAAAGGAGGTATAGAAACAAGGAAAACTGCAATAGTGAAATATGTAAACAAGAAAGGAAGGTGATACGAGGGAAAGGAGAGATTAAAGGACAGGAAATATCAGTGATCATGATAGACGGAAGATCTTAATTTGCCAAATTGGAGTACTCCGAATTGAAAACAGTCAAGAAAGTACCTTTTAAATTGTCTTAACTTCAGTGTTTGAGTAAATAGACTTTTGTAATGTCCACCTTTGCCTCTATATGTCAGTATATATCTATATATTTATCCATCCCAGCTTTCCATTTGCCAGTTTCTCTGTTTCCTCCGACTGACACCCAACACGTCCTCCCAGCACTCGTCAAACCGTAGCAGAAGCTCAAACTGGAGGAGCGTTGCGTGTCACTCGGCTCAGTTTTTTCTTCCTCTCTTGACTCAGTAAATTGCATGTCCGTGGTTGGGTGAACCTGTAGTCCTGTCTTTTTGGTCAAGTGGGAAAAAAAGTACTAATTTCTCAGTTTTCTGCATCCATCGCAACTCCAGTTGATATTTTCATTCCATGTCTCACCACTTGCTATTTCCACACCACAAACAAAACAAAAAGATGATATGGAAATTGATGCATTCAAAATTATATGTACTTGTATAAATGGTGCAACAGTAATAAAATGTAAGAAATTGACTGAAACCTTGAGGATTCTGTGCAAGTCCACTTTTTTCCTGCATTCACAATTTAACCAAACAAGTATCTAGGTCATTTATTTACAAGACATCCAAGGAAAAGACCCAAACAATACATATATATAGCCAAACTAAACAGCTGTACTGAGCTTTATTCAAACTACACAGTTCGGCGAACATAAACATAAATGATCGTGGTGAAGATGATGATTAAATTAGGATTAAAAATCGGGAGAGCCGGCTGCATTTCCTCTCGTTCGTTTCTTTCGACTAAACAACATTATTTTGTTAAATAACAACATGGTGATGTTTTGTAAATGATTACATGTCTTATTTAGCACAGACTATGATCCTATCCGTGACATGGATCTTAACAAAGATCCGCTATACATTAGTACCAGATATACTGTACATCCAGCTTACTGTATCGAAGTTGATTTCACATGAGCTCCAGTGTGGAACCCCACTGCACCCCCTGGTGGATCAATGATCCATTGCAGCTGGCTTCACAATAATTACATTTATTTATCACGGGGGCGGTATCAAGTCAGACTGGGGGCCGGCTCTTCATCACGGGCCGATCACGGGCCGATCACGGGCCGATCACGGACCAATCACGGACCAATCACGACCCTCGCGTTTCAAACTGTCTGAAATAAGATGCTCCATCTGTAGTTAGGAATGTGTGAATACAGAGATGGTTAGTTAACGTACTATAAAGAAAAAACTGCTAATGAAATTATTAGTTGATCAACAGAAAATCAACCATTTGCATCAACAGGTTGTTGAAGTAATTTTTTAAACAATGACGAAGGACTTCTGTTTTATATAATTGGAGATAAAACAATCAATTCAAAGATGTTAATGAAGGATGAGCGTCCGTCACAGTTTTCTCACATTTGAAACACACTCCCACAAGTCTTTTCTTAGTTGTGACTGAGGCTGGTCGATACACTGGAACAAATGCTGCTCCAAAGTAAATATATAATAAAAACAAGATTCTCTTTTAATAAGTGAACAAATCTGCCAATAGAACAAGTACGAAAAGGCTTGGTAAGATTTCTTGAAGTGAAGATGGGATATTTAGATAAATGAGATCTTGTATTAAACTTATTTTGAACTATATTTGACCAGAATTATTGAAATTGTAAGAAATGCTTAGACATTTTCTGTTTTCTGATGTTAGTTGGAGATTTTTTTATAAAAATAAGATGTTTTTTTTAAGAGACTTTGACTTAAAAAGATGCTTAAGATGCCTTGTCTAAAAACAAGACGTAATTTATTAAGTCTTATATCAAGTGTAACGACATATTCTGACTAGAAATTAGACAAATATACTTGGCAAGATTTTACATTTTTGCAGTGTAGCAGTCCATGCCTCATGCAAAAGGAAAAATCCATTCAAATCTAAATTATATAATTCTATAAAAATATACACTTCAATTATTATCTTGCTCCAGCTTGTGTGTATCTCTCAAAATGTAATATATTTGGATAAATATCAACACAACAAGTCGTAAACCACATCTTGGACTCTCCCTTTTCAGGGTTTCTTCAGACATTTGAATAAATTACCAATTAATTATTGGAAAATGATTAGAAATGTTAATTGATAAGCTATATGTATGTACAACATTACAATGAAGGTTAATGAATGAAATAAAAATGTATTTGTTTCCCATTTATAGCCCCACAGTACGATGTGAACAGGTAGTAATTGAAACATGAGGTGGTGTGATGCTAATGGTCACACCCTTGACATACGGTGTGTGTCAGAATCACACACACACACACACACACACACACACACACACACACACACACACACACACACACACACACACACACACACACACACACACACAGACACACACACACACACACACACACACACACACACACACACACACACACACACACACACACACATACACACACACACACACACACACACACACACACACATACACACACACACACACACACACACACACACACACACACACACACACACACACACACACACACACACACACTGAGGTGGTGGTGGCAGTAATTCCACCCCTCGTTGTCACATAAAGAAGATGAATGTCGTCTGGGACATCAGTAAGAGGACAAACTCGGAGGAACGAAGCCCCGCCAGGAGGGGACGACTGATGTCTTTATCTCTTCCTCTTTCTCGCCCCCCCCCCCTCTCTCTCTGCCTCTCTCTCTCTCTCTCTCTCTCTCTCTCTCTCTCTCTCTCTCTCTCTCTCTCTCTCTCTCTCTCTCTCTCTCTCTCTCTCGTGTGGATAAGGGACAGTAAATCAAGGATGAATCTCTCCGCTGTGATTTACACCTGTTCAAACCCTCTAATACCTCCCCGTGCTTCACTCAGGCCGGCGAGGCTAGATAAGATGGAAGCTGTAGAAAAAGGAACTGGATTCACTGGAAAACTGAAACGTTGACTTTAATTACATTTAATTTCACATTATTATATTAGGTTAGTTGTCAGTGTGGGATATATCCAATGATCTCATCACAAGGCCTGATAACTAAACAAATGAATACTTTCTTAATGAAGAGGTTTCCCGAGATGTTGTGCAGTCTGAATTTGAATATTTAACTCAAGTCTGATTCATTCAATACATGAGAAACATCAAAATCACACAAAATCCCTGATATTTACCTATTTATTTTGGCTACTTGCCCCAAAAAAAATCATAAATTAATCTTAAAGGTCCCATGTCATGGCCATTTATACTGATCATAATTCCATTGTTGAGGTCTACTAGAATAGATTTAAATTGTGCAATTTTCCAAACTCACATTGGTTTCTCATACAGCATGACATGGGACCTTTAAAAATAAGGTATTTTCGCTTGTAATAAGTGAAATCTGCCAATAGAACAGGTGAACATTCGCTTGGTAAGATCTCTTGTAATAAGATGGGATATTTAGATGAATGAGATCTGGTCAAATATAGTTCAAAATATGTTTGTTTTTTATGATGTGTTACAAAATAAGCCAGAAATTCTCCAAAGTTTTCTGTTTTCTGATAGTTGGAGATTTTCCAATAGAAATGTAAGAAAAAACACTCAAAATAAGATGCGTTCAAGAGTCTTTTTGACTTAACCAGATACTTAAGATGTCTAAAAACAAGACATATATCTCACTGCATTATTACTTATTAGGTTATTAGGTCTTATATCAGGTGTAAAGACATATTCTAACTAGTCATTAGACACATATACTTGGCAAGATTTAGAGTGTTTGTAGTGTAGCAGGTCAGATTTACTAGCACGGCAGAGTGTGAACATATGTTTCCACCCAAACTAAAGCAGTGTCTCATCATGGAATATGTCACCGTTACCTGACATAAGACTGCTTGCAGAGAGCGTGTGGTCTAAATATATATACGATGCATTCTGACATTTCTATTTTGGTTTCTATTTGAAAACACTTGTAAGGCTAGATGTGTCTTTCAGTCTGTCAGAAATATTAAAACGCTCAGAAGCAGAAACTCTGACCTTCAGTATGTGGAGCGATACACACACACACGCACGCACACACACACACACACACACACGCACGCACACACACACACACACACACACACACACACACACACACACACACACACACACACACACACACACACACGCACGCACACACACACACACACACACACACACACACACACACACACACACACACACACACACACACACACACACACGCACACACACACACACACACACCCCTGCAGTGGTAACTACAGGCTGCCAGGAGAGTGGTAGAAGACAGACGGAGAACAATGAAGGACAACTGCTATTTTTCTCTCACAGTCCCTTCCATCAAAGACAATGTTTAGGAGAAAAGAGACAGACGGGCAGTAATTACAGATATGCAGTGCTGTCACTTTGAAGCCTTTTCATTTCCTTTTGGGAGGACTGTAAAGTGTCAGATGGTGCTCAGAGGAATGCAGCAGGTGTCTACTTTCAATAATAACGTTAGAGGGAAGACTCGTTAAAAATGAAACGTGTCCATGGTGGCAAAGCTTTATGGGTACATTTAGGACAACTTTGCAGCACCAAGAAACAAGTATAGCTTAATTTACTCAAACCCCTTTCCCACCAAAGTGGTTTCAGAGCCAGTTCCTCCTGTTTCCACTGCAATGGGCCGACTCTTGGCCCCCAAAACCTGTTATTTTCTGGCACCAATAAACTGCTCGTGAAGACACCAAGAATCGAATACGTCAGGTTTACGTCGGAGGCTGGTGTGAGATCAAGGTGAGCAATAACAGCTCATGGCACTATGGGGAAGAGAATTAAGATGTAACGAGCAGTAGTGCTGAGTAAAGTGACTATACGTGTACACACACTTATAAAAAACACTGTTATATAAAGTCCTGTGGAGCCCATGTTGATCAGAAACATGCATACAAGCAGAGGTGGGAAGTAATGGAGTACAAATACATGTTTCTAGTATCAGTACTTTACTCCACTACTTATTTTTCTGACGACTTTTTACTTTTACTTCTTACACTTTGAACACAAATACCTGTACTTTCTACTTCTTACATGTTGAACACAAATACCTGTACATTCTACTTCTTACATTTTGAACTCAAATACCTGTACTTTCTACTTCTCACATTTTGAACACAAATACCTGTACTTTCTACTTCTTACATGTTGAACACAAATACCTGTACTTTCTACTTCTAACATGTTGAACACAAATACCTGTACTTTCTACTTCTTACATGTTGAACACAAATACCTGTACTTTCTACTTCTTACATGTTGAACCCAAATACCTGTACTTTCTACTTCTTACATGTTGAACCCAAATACCTGTACTTTCTACTTCTTACATGTTGAACCCAAATACCTGTACTTTCTACTTCTTACATGTTGAACACAAATACCTGTACTTTCTACTTCTTACATGTTGAACACAAATACCTGTACTTTCTACTTCTCACATTTCCCAAACAGGCTGGTTCCTTTAGTTTGAATGTGTGTTTGG